AAAAAAACTTCAGCGTATTGCCTTTGCTACTTCAGGCCCGTCTACTAGAATGCTGAAGTTTTGCGTGATTGCCTTTGCTACTTCAGCCCCGTATGCTGAAGTTACGAGAAAAAGTGGGTACACTTGCAATTTTTTTGCAAAGCGGACACAAGTTAAAACGTGACCCAAAAAGCAGAAGATACTGAAGTTATTTGGTTCATATGTAAAAAACTTCAACACTATATAAGCTGAAGTTTTTTTGTCCTGGATTCATTAGTTTTGTCATAAAGCTTTTTCAAAAACTTCAGCAGAAGATGTTGAAGTTATTTAGTTCATTTGTAAAAACTTCAGGACTAAAATAGCTGAAGTTTTTGAAAAAGGTTTCTAACATACTAGATAAATAATCACCTTATTCTTTCATAGTGTAGTACCATTATAAAATAATCAGATTGCCAACAATATCTAAATCATAAATTTTGGAAATAATAAACGTGAAAAGAACAGAATTACGTGGAAATATTCACAAATTATTGTCTACTAACTTACGTAATTTTTTATAATTTATTTTTAAATAATCTGATAAACATACTTATGGCAATCATCCCATAAACTGAAGTTTCATAGCAGCACCAACAGCCGCAGAAGAAAGAACAAGAAGAAGAAGAAGAAGAAGAAGAAGAAGAAGAAGAAGAAGAAGAAGAAGAAGAAGAAGAAAACGAATGAGGAGAAGGAGGAGGAGAAAGGGGGCTGAAGTTGTTTAAAAAGTGGGTACAAGTTAAAACTTTTTTTAAAAAAAATGGCTATAGGTTAAATGGGGGCGACCAAATAGGACGCCCCGTGCAATTTTTACTTTAGAGTTGGACTAACGTTAGTCCAGGAAGAAGTGCGGAAAATATTCTTAAAAGGCGTGTCGGCAATTCTCTTTTGGAATGAATTCGATTTTTAAGAAGGAAAATTATATATAAAGTTTAATTTCAGAAATTAAACTTTTACTCCAAAAGAAAATCAATACGTTAACCATTACTTAACCAAATAGGAAAACGTTCCTATTGCTGATATAAAAAGGGTGTTAGCCTGCCGCAGAAGCGAGAGAGACAAGAATTATTTCTGGGAAAGAAAACCTATTCCTAGTCATACGAATTCTTGAGAAGAAAAATCACTTTGTGAAAGTGAGAGTGCAATACACAGCCAATAGAGAAAATACAATTACAAGAAAAGTGTTTCTTGTTCTTCTAATTTGAGTTGAGATTTTTGAGAAAAATTTTAGCACAAGTTTTTCGTTCAATTTGCTCGCGGGTTTCGTTGATCAAAGAGTTGATAGCAAGGATCGGTCTCGGTGTGGATACACATAGAGTCTTCGCACTATCGAAGAATTTTTGAAACGAGACTCTCTTCAACAGGTACGTCTTAGATCTGATCTTTGACATGTAAATAAATTTTAAACA